ATGTAGCCATATGAAAAAATGCTATAAAATCACTATTGATTAGAGGAATGCAAATCAAAATGACTCTGAGGTACCACATCACACCTATCAGATTGGCTAATATGACAAAACAGGAAATGTGATAAATGCTGGAGAAGATGTGGGAAAATTGGATCACTAATGGATTGTTGGTGGAGTTGTGAACTGATCCAACCAAAGGAGTTTAAAAACGTGCACACCCTTTGACCCAGCAACAGCACTTCTAGATCTATATCCCAAAGAGATCATGAAAATGTGAAAAGAACCCACATGCACAAAAATATTTACAGCAGCTCCTGTGGTGGCAAAGTATTGGAAATTGAGGGGATGCTCATCAATTGGGAAATGGCTGAACAAGTTGTGGTATATGAATGTAATGGAATACTACTGTGCCTATAAGAAATGATGAGCAGGCAGACTTCAAAAAAACCTGTAAAGACTTACATGAACTGATGCAAAGTGAAATGACCTTAGAACCAGGAGAACACTGTACACAGTAACAGCCACATTGTTTGATGACTGACTTTGACAGACTTAGCTCTTCTCAGAAATGCAAGAACCTAAGACTACTCCAAAAGACTCACAACGGAAAATGCTATCCACATTCAGAGAAAAAACTATGGAGTGTGAATGCAGATGGAAGCATACTATTTGTTCTCCTTTTCTTTTATTGTTTCATTTTGTTTCTTCTTTCTTGTAGTTGCTCCCATTAGTTCTAATTCTTCTTTACATCATGACTAATGTGAAAATATGCTTAATATGAATGTGTAAGTAGAGCCTATATCAGATTGCATGCCATCTTGGGTAGGGGAGAAAAGAAGGAGGGCGAGAAAATTTAAAATTCAAAATCTTATGGAAGTGAATGGTGAAAACTAAAAATTAATTAATTAATTATTTTTAAAAAGATGCCATTTCAAGAACTAAATGTTAAAAAAAAAGGTATCCCAAAGTTGCCCTATTTTAATTAGCAGGATAAGTTATATGTACTTAGCAGGAATTGCTTCATCATAAGAAGAAAATTTCTCAAAACATAAAAAAATGAACATCTGAAAAAGTTGTTCCTCTGAAGAGGGCAAACATGCCTATGTAATTTTGTTTACCCTACTGATTTGAAGTAAACTTCAAACTTAATACACTGTACACAATTCAGTCTGGCTAAAAAGAAATAATAAATTATTAGAGTCTGATTATTGAGCCCTCTAATATATTAAAATATTAGCATTTATATGAAGCCAAATAGAAACGTGTTAAAGTATTCCATGGCCTAAACAAACAAAATGAAAATCTTTTCCAGCTAATTTGATTCATAAGGACAGGAAATATGGGTGATTTTAAAGGCATAAAGATCAGCAAGTAGGCCAGTTTCGTTAGAATTTACCAGTCATGAAGAGGAATAATATGAAATAGTGAGAAAATATGCTGGAGCCAGATTATAGAGGGCTTTAAATGCCAAAATGAGTAGCTTTCACTTTATACCAAATGGGATAGGCAGCCACTGAAGGTTAATGAGCAAGGAAGTGAGTGACATGACCAGATCTGTATTTTAGGAAGATTATTTTGGCAGTTATACAAGAAAATAATTGAGGATGAAAAAGACTAGGAGCTTGGAGTACAATTAGAAGACCACGGCAACTGTCTATTCGAGGGGTAACAAAGGCCTAAAGTAGTGAGTAGAGAGAAGCCAGACAAAATAATACACTGAAGAGGCCAAGAGGTTTTAGTTTAGTTATCCTACTTAATACAAAACCGTTCGCAGGTACTTCCTGTGAACTACATATCTTCACCAAATGTAATCTAATGAATAGAGAGCCCTCCTTGAAATCAAGAAGACCTGGATTCAAATCCTTCTTTTGATGTATAGTAGCTCTATGATTAAGCACAATGAATTATGTTCTCATTGTCCCAGGCCATACACACTCACCCCATAAATCACATGGCAACCAGGACATTGAGGGGATTCAAGATTACGTTCTATGAAGACCATCTGAAGGAACTGAGGATTCTTAATTTTAAAAAAATTGAATATGCTTAGTCAACAGCTTCAAAATGACATTCAAATAAAGCTGTCAATGTCATAATAATGAACACAGAACATTTTCAAAGATGAGAAAACAGGCATATTGGCCAATACTTAGCGTCTTCTTAATCCTATTTTAGAGAGTACTATCATCCCTAATTTTTCTATTCATTTGGCATATTTCCCCTACTTGAATTAACTTCAAAAATGATGCCTCGATGCTTTCAAGATTTTCAACTATCTCACACATCACAGAAATACCTGAGGTAGTTCAAATGTGGTACAGCTACTGTCACTGATTATAAAAATACATCAATATAACTCCAAAAGACAAGTATACAAACATGAAAGGGTGGATGCATTTTACCAGTATATCATAATCTTATCTTTACCTGCACCAGTAAAAGTGGGTTGCACATACATACAAGTTTGGCAAAGATACAATGAGAGGTAAGAAAGGATTTAAGAGGAAGGATAGAACTAGTCAAGAAAGAACAGTAATAAGCAAACAAAGAAGACCAAGGATGTCATTAAGAGTGTCACAGACACAGAAAAATGTACATTCAAGTTACAGTTGGTATCTACTACTGATTATATTGGAGAGAGAACAGGATATACTGCTAAACTTAAAATTTGGAAGATCTGGATGCAAATTTTGACTCTGACAAATATTAGTTTTGTAAAAATACGTGCATTACTTAACCTATTTGAGCCTCTGTTTCCTAATTTGAAAAACACTGATAGTGATACATGTAATACCTGCCTCATAGGGCTTATGCATGGCTCAAATGAGATGTCATACAAAGCATTTTTCAAACTCTAAAGGACTGTGTCAGTTATTATATTATTATCAATTACTGTTTTAATGCACATATATTCAAAGAGTAATTGTCAGAAGTGCTTATAAAGTGGGTCTGTTACTATTTCTAAAACTGCATCTGTAATCAGACACCAAGGCTCTTGCCTCTCCGTGGGGGCTGCCATTTTCAAAACACATAACTATACTTCACAGCAGGAAACTCAGCTTGATGGGTCAGGGTTAGACCAAGACAATTCCAATCCTATTAGAAATCAAATCTTTCAAAAGCTGTAATAAAGCTTTATTTATTCTTATTAATTGGGTATTTCAAATTAGTTTAACATGACACTAGATTCAGGAAATTACAATCAAAGAACATAATTTATAATTTTGAATAATTTTTTTTCTAGAGGACTAATATTCTCAAAACTGGCTTTCTATCAAAGAAGAGGGCAGTTTATTTATGAATAACTTATTTATTGATATGTAACACTAATTCTAATTCACACTTTATATACCACTTTATTTCCTTGAACTATTACTCCTTGTGGTATTCTAAAGCTTCAATTTTAATTGTTATCTATATGGAAGAGTAGTATTTCAATTTTAAAACATTATATAAATATAAACATTATTTCTTTGGTGTAATTTTATATATAACAGTGCTTCCCAAAGTAATTTAGCCAAAGAACACTTTGGGGATTGAAATATACAGAGGAAAGCAGAATCAAAAATACATTAGTTGGTAAAGGGAATGTTTAAGGGAACATAGCTGTCAGATTATATATTCTGAGAAACCGGGACTGAGTTTATGGAAGAAACACTTGAATCTCAAAGAATATAAGCGTCTTTTACACAACTAAACCTGTTCTTTGATCTATCAATTATCCCTGACAACTTAAGAGAAAAAGAGGATTCCTTTTTAATTAATCTATGATTGTTCTGAGTGCAGGTAGGCTAGGGGGAGAAAAGACAGGCTTCTTTGGATTTCCCTGTTTTCCTGAATTTGAAGAAGGAAGGAGCAAACTGAATAGAACTGAGTAGAAATTTTAAACAAGGTCAAATTAATTTGTATAAATTTAATGTAATGCTCAAAAAAAAAATCAGAGTTCTTCTTAGAATTGAGAAAAATCACAATGAAATTTTTATGAAAAACTAAGCAGACAATATGAAGGGGAACATTTAAGAAACAAACCAATCGAAGTGGTCAGGTTAACGTTTCCAAACTTTAAAACATATTATAGGGGCAGCTAAGTGGCGCAGTGGATAGAGCACTCACCCTGGAGTCAGGAGGACCTGAATTCAAATGTGACCTCAGACACATAATACTTCCTAGCTGTGTGACTCTGGGCAAGTTACTTAACCCCAATTGCCTCACATTAAAAAAATATATATATTACAAAGTGTTGAGCACTAGAACCATCTTGGTGGAGGGGGTGTAAAAGGGGTAGAATAGAAAAAGACCAATGAAACAGAAGAGAACACCAACTATCTAACTAAATGAAGTTTCTCAATAAATTTTATAGAAACACAGAAAACAATTCATTACAGTAAAAATGTGCTTGGAAAAGTTGATTTGCAATCTTGGCAGGAAAGGAATTCATTTGGACATACATTTTATACCACATATCTCAATAAAGTCCAGCAGGATAACAAAGACATTTTCTTTAAAAATCATAATTTTTTTAAAAAAAAAGTAGAATTAAAGTACTTAATTGTGGAAAGGTTATTGATATTTTTTTCCTCATTCACCATATAGAAGGCAATACTAGAAATGAAAGAACCATGGTTCCTAATAAAGAAATTTTTTAATTGAGAAAACAAAAGAAAAATATATAAGGGGAAAATATGGCAACGAAAACAGATAAAAACATCTAAAAATATTTTAAACTCTGAAATTTAATAAAACTCCCAATAATTTCTACTCAAATAAATTTGTAATCTCATTGCTATGGTTGTTCCCTTAAACTATGCAGATCACAAACTATTCATTCCTCCCCTTCCTTTGAGATTTGTCCATGTCTCATTGCAGAGACTGTTTCTGCCATTCTTTGTATCTCTGTCTCTCTGTTCTCCTCTCTATTTCTTTCTTGTACAGTTAGACAAATGCTCATGGACAAGCTCTACAGGCTATCTAAATGGCATGTTATAATCCGGATAACAAACCTTCTTCCTCCACTTGTATTTTTCTTATCTGGACAGCCAGGACAAAATCATCTCTTCCAGAAGGATGTGAAGCAACCAGCATGACATCATCTGAAAACAGAAGGATTTGAAAGACTACCATCTACAGAGAATCTTTGTTCAACTTGGATTTTGTACTGAACTTCTCCATGACTCTGACGAAAATAGTTTTCAAAAATTAAATTCCCAGTCTGCAAAAAAACAAATGGTCTAAGAATATAAACAACCTCTTGTTGTGGGAAATCAGAATTTAAAAGTTTTTCCAAAGAAAATTGTTAATAATCACCAAAAATTACTAAATTTCACTAATAACCAGAGATGTAAATGAAAACAACCATAGGTCAATATACTTAATGAATATCAGCTCAAATTTTTTAAACAAAATCCTACCAGACTACAGTGATTTATCCAAGAAATCATTCATTATGACAAAATGAGATTATATCACAGATGCATGGAAGGTTCAACAGTAGGAATATAATCACCATAATTAATCATATTAAAAACCAAAACATCTAAAACCACACAATTATATCAACTAATATAGAAAAGGCCTCATTTATACTAAAAGCTTACAAAGTGTAGACAGAGGGACTTTTTATTAAAATTATAAAACGCACCTATCTAAAACCAAAACCACCATACACAATGAAGATATACTAGAACTTATTCCAATAAATACAAGAGTGAAACAAGAATGCCCACTATCCACATTATAATTTTGCGTATATCTGAAAATGCTAGCAACACCAAAAAGACAAGAGAAAGAAACAAAAGGCATAAAGACAGGAAAAGCAGAGATAAAACTATTCTTATTTCCTGATAACATGATGGTGTACTAGGAAAATTCTCTTTAGGATCACCAGAGATAATTAATGAGACAATTAAGTTCCAAGCTACAAAATAAGTCCTCAAAAATCAACATTTCTATATAATAACAACAAAACCCAAGAAGAAATGACATTCCAAATAACTACAAAATGTTTAAAATCTATGACAATCAACCTACCAATGCACACAAGACTTGTATAGATTCAATTACAAAGTGCTCCTTAAAGGGGGAGGAGGGGAGGAGGAAGTGTGTGTGTGTGTGTGTGTGTGTGTGTGTGTGTGTGTGTGTGTGTGTGTGCGTGTGTGTGTGCGCGCACGTATCTTAAATAGCTGGAGGAATATTCAGTGCTCACAGCTAGTCCCTGTTAATGTAATGAAAATGACATTATCCAAGTTAATTTATACTTGTAATGATATATCAAATTTCCAAAATCAAAGTACCAATCAAAGAAAATACTAAGGGGATATCTGGCAGAACTTTATAAAATTATGAAAAAAACTCCTTTGGAGAAACAAAAGATCTAGAATGTCAAGGGAAATGAATAAAAAGAAGTAGAGATGAAGGGGGAAACACTTATACACAATATATGTAATGCACAATGTAAATAGAAAGAACACCACCACATGCTCACACTCAACCTAAAAGTAAATATAACAAAATTATAAATATAAAGCAGGATTCAATTGAAGAGATGAAAACACTCCATACCCACTCGTTTATGAAGGTAGGAAATCTATAGGAATTACATAAGCAATACACACTGCACACACATTCCGATTTTTCAATATATTAATCTATATTGCTGATTTTTTTATCCTTTTTTTTTTTGTCCTTAAAAAATACTGTTGTTACATGGGATGGTTCTCTGGGAAGGTGATGGAAGGGACACAGAGAAAATTATGATGATGCCCAAAAAAAAAAAAGACTTCAATAAAAACTTATTTTTAAAAAAAGATTCTTATTATTAAGTTAAAGAATAAGACTTACACATCAGTCCCAAATTTTGAAAATAAAAGAGTTTAAGGAGCAAGTGAGATACCTTACCTGAAACAATGAAAAAGAAAAACCATACAAGCTGGAGAGATAAAACTTATGCTTTTGCCCAGCATAATGCTCATTCAATGGAGCATAACTAAATGATATTGTGCGCTCAGCAGTTCTCAACAGCATTAACAAAGAATTATTTTACTCTGTGGTGGTATCAAAACAAATCCAAACATGCTAAATAATAAACTATTAAAACTAGAATTATCCAACAGTGGTACCAAGTAAAAATAACCAGAAACACTCCCCTGCCCTGTTGCCACCCCCTGCTCCCCAAAAAACACAGCTAAAATAGTAGAAAGCATATGATGCTATAATAACGATGTGTCTTCTAGTTCGTGCATTCAGTCACTTATTTGAGAACTGGAATTGCTTGAGTTTGTATTTTGTTCATAAAAATGACTTAGGAAATTTATTGTTGCCCTAAAACAGGATTTATCTGTCCATTCAGCAACACCAAGTTGTTTTCAATAAATTAATTTCACAATCTCAACTCTAATATCAGCAAAGAGATCAATAAATTCATATTACTTTCACCATGACTGTCACCAACTACTTATATGTGTGACCTTGGAGAAGTCACTTTTCATTTGTCTATTCAAATATTTATTTAGTATTTACTGGGTACAGAGTACTCAGGTACCGGGGAAAATACAAAGTTTAAATAAAACATGGCTGTTGACTGAACAATGAAATAAAAACAACTCATTAAGAGTCTGCTTACATTCAAAGTGCTACACACTCTGGATGTTGTGATACAAAAGGAAGGTAGTCCCTGCTTTCAAGGAGTTCATATTTTAATAAGGATAGAAAACATAAATGAGGCTTAAGCTGCAAGTCTGATGGAAAGTCCTAGGTGTTCCTAAGACATAGGGGGAAAGTAGAGAGTAATGTATATTCTGTTGGTAAAGCTGTATTCACTAAACAATTAATTTAATAATGCCTAAGACTTTGGGGGAGAACTTTGTTTCCTGGTTCTTCAATAGTTGTGGGGCTAAGGAGTTTGGGGCTACAACACCTGCAAGAGGAAGTTGCCAGGTCCTATCTCCATAAGAATTGTTCCCCAGGGAAAATGGCAGCAAGAGACTGGCTTTTACCCGAGTGGACATGGAGGGCCCAATGGTCTAGAGGTTGCTGCTGCAACCCATACTCTTAAACTCACCTGCCCTTAGGTGGCAGTTGGGGCTGGTGGTAGCCTTCTCTAAAGAGGTTGTTTCCATGTTATATGGCTATGAGGGCAAGGCTATAGAGTTTCTAGCTTAGTAAGGAGAGAGGTCATAAATTCATATAACTATAATCTGCAATATTACACATTAAGCACACAACAGTGACTGCGGATAGAGGGTTAACTTTGGAGTCAGGAGGACCTGCGTTCAAGTGCTACTTCTGATACATACAGTTTGTGAACCAAAAGTAAGTCACTGCTCTGTGCATCCAGGCAACTAAGGGCTACAAATTACAGGGAAGTGGGTTATTTGCACGAGTGGAGGAAGTTTCCACACTTACAAATGCGGAAGAAAATCACAGGTTAGGATAGAAAGGCTCTTCTCTTTCCCTACACACAAAAATTCCAAAACAACTGGTAAAATTCTACAGGGGGAGGATTAGAGAAAGTTTCACAGAGGAAAAAACAGCGAAGTTAATGGAAGTCTTAACAGAAATAAAGAAAGCAAAAGGAGGGAAGGAGGACACTGGACACACCTGGCCAAAAAAAAAAAAAAGCAGGGCCCATAGCAAGTTTAATTTGTGTGTAGGTTTCTCCATCAGTAAAATGGAGAGGTTGTACCCAGAGGTATCCAAACTTATTTGGTCTACCACCCCCTTTTCAACAAAAAACTTACTTATTACTCCACTGGAAATCTATTTTCTTTACCAGGTTTTGTTTTGTTCTGAAATTTGTGCCATTTGGAAAAAAGATTTTTTTTAAATGACGTTATCTTAAATTTAATAATTTATTGTAAATTTGTGGGTTTTTTCCTGCATTGAAATTTTGATGATGCAATATTGCATCATGTAATCATATAGTATCACATTGTAAACAAGTCAATACACACATGTTCCTGCCAATGCATGCTGGACTTCTTGACAACACACTACATGCCTGCCTGCCAACAACTGCTTAAGACCTGTCAAAGACTTGACCACTGATGGGTGATAACTTGAATTTTGTGTATTTATTTGGAAAATAATGTAATCACTATGACTTTAACTCTGTTACAACAGATGTAACACGTACAAATGGTTTTTCAAATTTTTTTATCTTCTCTTTCTTCCTTATGCTTCCTTATTTTTATTCAACGCTCCCCCAATTGCACCCAATGCTACTACCGCCCCCGCCCCAACTCTCTAGATCATTCCAGCACCCCCCAGGAGCCATATCATCTACTTTAGGAACCTCTAACAATCTCTAAGCTCCTTTCCATCCTAAGATCTTATGATATTTACAAACAGGTATCTTCTAGCAGAACAATAGGATACACCAATACAATTAGAAAGTCATTCCTTTCTCCAAAGTGCTGACAACTTGACAGGCTACTTGTGGTCAGTTCCAATGACACCCTCCCTCTACTTCTAGAAAACATCAATATTCTAGTTCCCTCACTCCCTCTCCAATTGCTTCTTTCATGAACTCTTGATCAAACTCTTCACTGGTTATGTTTCCTAAAGTTCAAATTATGGTCTTTAGCTGGGTTGGTAAACTCCTTCTTTAAAGAGGTTGTTTCCATGGTATATGGCTATGAGTGCTCATTCTCTTTCCCTCAGTAGAGTACTGGGCACACAGAAGTTAATTGATTAATACTTGGGTGACTGAATGACTAGTTGTTTGTTTTTAATTAATTTCTGATTCTCAAATCCTAAAACCTCTAAAAAGTAAATCCTATTTCTCTGAAATGGCTAACCTAGATTAGGAAATTTAACCTTTAATTTAATTTGAGGAAACTGTTTTCCACTAAAAATTTTCATATAATCATAAAATAGTAATAAGTACCCTAGTTTAAAAAGTTAAATATTTAAAAATAAAATTTTCATTTTTCATTTATTTCAAAATACAGACATGAACAGCCTATCTTCAGACCATTACTACAAAGATTGAATTTTCTCTACATTCTGCTTAAGACATCTACCACCTATGGTGATTTCAAAACTATTTTAAATACATAACTTATTATTCCATAGCTAAAAATGCTATGGAAAA